CTCATCCATGCCCCTCCATAAACTACATGTAAATCAACGCCATACACACTATGAAGATAATACAAAGAGCAAATAAAGCCCACTTCTTCCCATAAGTAGAAAATTCATCATCAGATTTTAGCAGAGTTATTTCTTGAACTCCTGCTACAAAGCTTCATGGAGATCTAATGAGTCCAGAAAAATATTCCAGAAAAATGAAAGGGCCACAGAGGGCCCCAAAATGAGCCAAGACATAGCCTAGCAAAAGAAAATCTATACTACTATATGAAAATTCCGAAAAAGAGCCCTGGTAGATCAAAGCTTTGACAACAGGAAAGGGACCAGAAAACATGAGGGAAACAAGGTAACTGTATTGAAAAGCCTACATTGCTGAGGGAGACAAGGGTGAAAGGGAAGAAGGGAGGCACTCTTTGGATATTGATGATGAAAAAAGAAATGAGAACCAGGGATAAAGTTGGGTAATTGTGGCACAACAGGAAACTAGAAAGTAAGACAATGGAAACCTCTAAGCCCATCGCCAAACACAAAAGCCAGACATTAATGAGACTGTCATTGTAGATTATTTCTGTACAATTCTGCATATCTGTGGATATCTACATCTGTATATACACATCTGGATGTGTATATCATTCACTATGTTGTGAATGGGAACATGAATGAAAGAGTGATTCTTTTTACCTCATTGTGGTTTTGGTTTTGATTTACACTTCCCAGATGATTAGTGATATGGAGTACATTTTCATGTATCCATTGGCCATCTCTATGCCTTCTTTGGAAAAATGTCTCTTCAGATCCTCTGCCCATTTTTTAATTGGATTATTTGGTTTTTGCTCTTGAGTAGTATGAATTCTTTACATATTTTGCATATTAACCCCTTAACAGATATACGATTTGCAACTATGTTCTCCCATTTGGTCGGTGCCCTTTTTATTTTGTTGGTGGCTTCCTTTACTGTGCAGACGCTTTTGAGTTGATGCAGTCCCACCTGATTATTTTTGCATTTGTTGCCTTTGCTTTTGGTGTCTTGTCCAAAAAATCATCACCAGGACTAATTTCAAGGAAGTTAGTACCTAGGTTTTCTTCTAGGAGTTTTAAGTTTTCATGTCTTAAGTCCAAGTCTTTTCTCTGCCTGTTTTAGAGTTGCACTGAAAAACTTTTCTAAAGCCGGTCTTGTGTTGAGGATAGAAAAGGCAAAGATGATTTCTGGGGTTTGCACGCCATCACCTTCCCAGGGCTGGCGTTGCAAGGGGGCAGAATTATAAGATGTTCTCACCTTGTCCCTAAGGAGACTGTGGAAGACCCCCAATCCCATTTTATGATGCTTTTTCAGAATTGTAGTTTCAGCTTCAGAGGTTCAGTACTCTGGGTAAATACCTGGACTTCCAGAGCTGGGACTCTAGCTCCTCTTCATGAATAAATTATCTCCTTAAGAAGCCCTCAGCCTTTGTATCCTGCAACTTTGCTGTATTTGTTAATTATTTCTAATAGTTTTTTGGTGGATTCTTCAGAGTTTTCTATGTATAGAATGATGTCATCTGCAAATAGTGACAGTTTTACTTCTTCTTTTCTTATTTGGGTCCTCTTTATTTCTTTGTCTTGCCTAATTACTCTGGCTAGGACTTCCAATGTTGAATAAGAGTTGTGAGAGTGGGCATCCTTGCCTGCTCCTATTTTTAGAGGAATAGCTTTTAATTTTCCACCGTTGAGTATGATATTGGCTGTGGGTTTGTCATATACGGCCTTTATTATGCTGAGGTACTTTGCTTCTATACTGATTTTATTGACAGTTTTTATCACAAACGGATGTCAAATGTTGTCAAATTCTTTCTCTATGTCTATTGAGATGATCATGTGATTTTCATTCTTCATTTTGTTAGTGTGGTATATCTCGTTGACTGACTTGTGGATGTTGAACCATCCCTGCATCCCTGGAATAAATTCCACTTGATCCTGGTGTATTATTCTTTTTACATACTGTTACATTTGATTTGCTAAAGACTTGTTGAGGATATTTGCATTTATGTTTATCAGTGATATTGGCAAGTATTTTCCTTTTTGGGTTGCCCTTATCTGGTTTTGGCATCAGGGTAATGTTGGCCTTGTAAAATGAGTAAGGAAGCAGCTCATACTCTTCAATTTTTAGAGAGAGTTTGAGAGGATAGGTATTAAACCTTCTTTGCATGTTTGGTAGAATTCATTAGAGAAGTCATCTGATCCTGAGCTGTCGTTTTTGAGAGGGTTTTGGTTACTATTTCAGTCTCTTTACTTGTGATTGGTCTTTTCAGATTTTCTATTTCTTCTTGATTCAGTTTTATGAAGTTGTATGATTCTAAGAATTTATCTATTTCTTCTATGTTTATCCAAGTTCTTGGCATTTAGCTTTCCATAGTATTCTCTTACAATCCTTTGTATTTAGGTGCTATCTATTGTAATTTATCCTCTTTGGTTTCTGATTTTATTTATTTGAGCCTTCTCTCTTTTTTTCATAGTGAGTTTGGCTAAGAGTTTGTCAGTTTGGTTTATCTTCTCAAAGAACCAACTCTTAGTTTCATTGATCTTTTCTATTGTTTTTTAGTCTCTGTTTCATTTATTTCTGCTCTGATTTTTATCATTTCCTTACTTCTGCTGATTTGGGGGCTTTGTTCTTCTTTTTCTAGTTTATTTGGGCACATTCAGTTGCATTTTGATACACTAACAAGGAACTAGCAGAAAGAGAAATCAAGAATATAATCCCATTTACAATTGCAGCAAAGAGAATAAAATACCGAGGAATAAATTTAACCAAGTAGCTGATAGACCTACACACTGAAAACTATAAGACAATATTGAAAGAAACTGTAGAAGACATAAAGAAATGGAATGATATTCTATGCTCATGTATTAGAGGAATAAACATAGTTAAAATCTGCATATTGCCTAAAACAATCTACAGATTTAATGCAATCTCAATCAGAACCCCAAAGACATTTTTCATTGAAACAGAACAAAGAATCCTAAAATTTATATGAAACAACAAAAAGTCAAAACAGCCAAAGCAATCCTGAGAAAAATGAACAAAGCTGGAGGTGTCACACTCTCTGGTTTCAAAATATACTAAAAGCTATAGTAATCAAAACATGTGGTATTGGCAGGAAAACAGACACATAGGTAAACAGAATGGAATTGAGAGCCCAGAAATAAACCTACATATCTATGGATCCTAGTCTTCAACAAAGGAGCCAAGAACACAAAATGGAGAAAGGAAAGTCTCTTCAATAAATGGTGTTGGGAAATCTGAACAGCCACATGCAAAAGAATGAAAGTAGACCTTTATCTTACATCACACACAAAAATTAACTCTAAGTGGGTTAAAGACTTGATTGTAAGACCTGAAACCATAAAATGCCTAGAAGCTAACATAGGCAGTACATTCTTTGACACTTGTCTTAGCAGTATCATTTTGAATACCATGTCTCCTCAGGCAAAGGAAAGAGTAGAAAAAAAAAAATGGGACCACATCAAACTAAAAAGCTCCTAATGTCAAAGGAAACCATCAACAAAACAAAAAGACCACCTGCCAACTGCAAGAAAATACTTGCAAATCATATATCTGTCAGGGAATTAGTTTCAAAAATATAAAGAACTTATACAACTCAACAACAAGAAAATGAACAACCCAATCAAAAAATGTGAGAGGATTTGAACAGACAGTTTTCCAAAGATGTACAAATGGCCAACAGGCATATAGAAAGATTTTTAACATCAGTAATTATCAAGGAAACACAAATGAAAACTTCTTCTCATACACTTCAGAATGGCTGTAATTAACAAGACAAGAAATACCAAGTGTTGGAAAGGATGTGGAGAAAACAGAATCCTCATCACTGCTGATGGGAATGCACACTGGTGCAGCCAGTATGGAAAACAGTATGGAGATTCCTCAAAAAGTTAAATTAGGAAATACCATATGTTCCAGATATTTCACTTCTGGGTATGTATGCAAAGAGCAGGAAACACTAATTGGATAAAATATATGCATCCCTATGTTCATTGCAGCATTAACTCACAATAGTCAAGATTTGGAAGCAACTCAACTGCCCATCAATGGATGAATGGATAAAGAAGATGTGGTATATTTATACAATGGAATACTACTCAGCCATAAAAAAGACAAAATCATGCCATTTGCAACAACATGGAGGGACCTTGAGGATATTACACTAAGCAAATTGTCAGGCAGTAAAATTTTGACAAATACTGTATCATTTTACTGGTATGTGAAAGATAGCCAAATAAAAAACACAAAGATAAAGAGAACAGATTGGTGGTTTCTAGGAGTGGGATCAGGGTGGAATGGGTAAAGGGACACATATATACAGTGACAGATGGAAACTAGACTTTTGGTGGTGAACAAGATGCAGCCAAAACAGAAATCGAAACACAAAGAAATTTATCTAATTTTATAAACCAATGTGACCTCAATAAAATAATAAAAACTAAAAAAAATAAAACATAAAAGAGGCCCTCAGAGATATAAAGCAGGAATGGTAGGTCGGTTTCCCTTGGGGCTTTGGTTCCAGAGAGTAGAAACAAAGTACTCCCAGGGAGTAGACACTATTTCCAGGGAGTAGTGTCCCTTGAGTTTGGGACACTAGAAGAGATTTAAAGCAGGTCCCTAGGGAAATGGGGCATGGAGATGGCAATGTGAGGTAATTAGAACGGTTCAACTGGAGGCTGGCTACTATAAGTTTGGGAAGGGTCCATAAACTGAGATAGGTCGAGTCACTTTGAGGTGGAGCTGCCATCCACGTGATTTCCTAAGGTCTCTACATTCCTGATTCCGAGCATTTTCTATGCAGAGAGTGTGGTGATTACCTGGACAGAGAGGGGTTAAGGATCAGCTCACTAACCCCTCCTTCCCACTGCCCATGGGCAGGAGGGTGAGGGCAGAATGGCCAATGGAGAGGAGCCTAGGGAGGAGCGGAAGAAGAGGAGGAGGGGACGGAGAGAAGAGAGACAGGTGTGATCCGTCCCCTCTCTTCCCCCAAGCTCCCAGCCAGTGCCAATCCTTTACCGCCTGTGAACCAGGTGTCTAGGGCCCACACGGGTCCCTTTCCCTGGAGTAGGCCACCGGGCTCCATCACAGGAGCGAGCATGGCGAGGCCGCAGGCATTGCTTCTCATCTGCTCCCTTCTGCCTGGGCTCCTGCTCTCAGAGGCAGGCAAAATCCTGACTCTGTCCTTGGTGGGTGAGTGCTTGGTCAAATAATCCAGAGACAGGAGTGTCCCAGGCACCCGTGACAGGGATTAGGCAAACAGCCGTAGGTCAGAGAGTCATTGCATGTGGTTTTCCAGACTGGGCGGGTTTGTTTCCCTGGCTGGAGGATGAAGGGTGGGTGTTGTTTGTGGAGGCAGAGATGGGCTTCTTCCACCACTGAGGTGGAGAAGATAGTTCTGGAAAAACAGAAATACTCTCCTCTCTCTTCTTGCTCAGGACCTTCTCCCTATAAGCAGGGCTGGGACCAGAAGTTTAAGATTCAGCCCAGTGCAGGAGACCCAGGCCACCTCCTCCAGGCTGCCGCTTGGCCATTCAGAGTTTCCTTCTAACCTTCTAGGGGTGCGGGCAGTTGCCAGTATGGACTGTGGCTAGTGTTTTCAGACCCTTGGAGGCTGCAGGGGAAAGCTGCTCCTGGGGCAGCAGCACTAATTTTCTGAGCTGCATAGGAGCCAAGGCGGAGCAGGGAAGATATTCCAATGACAGTTAGGAGGGTGGACTGGTTTCATCAGGGGGAAACCTGGAGAACTGACCAGGGCTGAAGAGTGGACTCTGCACATTCATGTTTCTCCTGGCCCCCTCTTTCTTTCACCTGTGCTGCTGGAAGTGTTTGAAGGACTCGTGGAACCATTAATTCTGCATTTTTGTGGCCTCAGTTTTATTCCTTTACTTTTGCACCAAATGTAATAGAAAATGAATGAAAAAATATATCATGATGAAGTGTTCATCATAGTATGGAATTTCCCAGAGCTTTATTTCAACCCACAGTGGGCTGTCTTAGATCCCTGTTAGGTCACTGAGAATCAGGGAATCTTAAAGATGGAAGGAACCATAAATTATCTAATGCAGCTCCCACTATGTTTTCTTCAGCAGGAAACTAAGGGTTGGTGAAGTGAGGTGCATTTTCAAGATCACACCAGAGCTCCCTAATCGCTTGAACACCATGAATTTACTCAGTGTTTCTTAGCTCAAGACCATCCTTTCCACAGCTCTCACTCTCACCACTTTTCAGTGGGAAGTAGTAATAATCACTCTTTAAGAAACCCTGTAACACCATTAGAAATTTTTTCTTTATCCTGTCTAATTGGTAACAATGATGAAGCAAAAGAGCTTGTTCACCTCTTGAAAGCATGCTGTTCTCCTGCCTCCGATTCTGAGAGGGAGCTGGTGTGGTTTGTGAGGTGATGGAAGCCTCTTCTCTGTCCCAGAATGCACTGGGGCTCATCAAGACCCTCCATGATGGGATGCATGTGGGGTCATACCCTCTTCCTGGCTCCCAGGTCTAATATTGATTAAAAACTGGTTATGAGATGTGGGACATTTGTACTTTATACCTCCCCTGGTACTTCAGAATATGCAAGTCTGGGTGTGAAAAACTACACACCATTTCTGTAGCACCCCACTCCCCATACCCCTGTCTCCAAACTCTTGGCGTTTGCCATTAACTTTTCTCCTGATCTGACTTTCTCTGCTGCTGAGATCCTTAGATTCAAGCAAAGGCCCCATGCTGGAGCAGGATTCAAGAGACGACATTAGTGTGATAGACTTGTACCTCCCCTGGCTATCAAGCTTCTCTTTAATTATGATCCCAGCATTGTCCCAGGGTGGGTGATATCTCAGTCTTCATGCATATAGGATGATGCAAGCCCACTCCACGGGCCCCCCAAGTATCCAGAATATCTTAGTTTGAAGTTCTGCACAATTGAGGCCAAGCTGAGAAAAGTTCTGCCAAAAACATTTGAATCTCAAGGATTTGAGGTCTAAGTAGTGGCTCCATGTCCTTCTGCTCCAATGACTGCTTCTTGGACTCACATTCAAGCTCCCATATTTCTTGCTCCTACGCTTTCATAAATTCCCAAAGAGAAGGACTCAAAAATAGCTGTGATTGATTGTCCTTTAGGATCCTTCACACTCATGCACAGCACTGTGCCCAAATTTCCTCCAGAGCAGTTATTTCTTCAGGACATGATGTCCCATATTGCCCCAGCTAAAATACAGCATGCACCTTGGGATCAGGAACTCCTTAAGGCCTGAACACCAAGAAGCTCATCACATTGACATGGAGACCAGAGTCACCAGAGGGGACCTTGGATGGAGGTTTGCCACAGGTCAAGGATGAGGACCAGCAGGGTCTGGGGGAGTGGGCTAGGGTGTACACAGATTGATAGGGAGAGAATGACTGATGAAGTTTATCTTTCTCTACTCACCATCAACTTTCTATTTCCCAACCCCTCCTGTCCTGGATTTACCACCCTATCAACCTCAGAACCTCTGTTGTCATCATTACAAAAATGAAGTTGTGCATTGTTCCTAGGTGGAAGCCATCATCTACTAATGGATCGAGTGTCTCAGATTCTTCAAGATCATGGTCATAATGTCACTGTGCTTCTTCAGAGAGCAAATTTATTGCTAGCAGGTATCTTTTCTCTCTAATTCTTGATTTCTTCTACTCCAGGCAAAGAACAACAAGGCTTTTTGCATAGAAAGGTTTTTCAAATAGTTTTTAAAATCTATTTGGTTGAAAGAATGAAAAAAGTGTGTCCCTGAATGCGTGTGTGTTTCTGTAATGTGCTGGAATACTTATGGACTCTATCAACCAGGACTCCACACTCTGTGGTCCCGTATTTTCCTCCCTTACTTGGGCTTCTACTCCATCCAAGCAATCCTCAGCACCTTTTTACAGATTATTTGGTAAATACTTCCTTATAACATGCCTGGAAATATGATAAACAGATGTATTCAGCCATAAATAAAGTTCCTAGTAGGTAAGGATCCCTTTTCTTTTTCTTTAGCATAGATTAAGTTCTCCTCTTTGATATCTGAAAGTTAAGCAAGCTTTCTCAGTGAGTTCCTTATTTATGCAGCTAAGATCAGAATCTATCACTGAGATGGTGGTGTTTTCCTGAAAAGTCAGTGACTGCCCATGAGTTTGGGCACAGCGATTTAGAGATTCCCAACTGAGTCATTGAATCCCAAGAAGTTTAGCTAAAATGGGCTCATAAATCTTATCAACTTTTCTCTGCTGAGGGACAAGGGAATGGCAGGTCAGAGAACTGAATTGCTTAACTCAAGGTCACAGGCAGGCTAATAACAGTGTTGCGTGGATTTAGGACTTTAAGCTCTGGATTGCTCAATCTGTAGTGTTTCTTAGGCTTTGATTTTTCAAAAGAAGAATCCAACATTAAGCTGCATTTTTGGGAACCCACATTTTGAGAAATTATAAAACTTGAAGGTGACTCCAGACTTTGTTATTGCACAGATTACTTCAAAACAATTTTTTTTTGTGAAAAATTCATTTTATTTTTTATTGTGGTAAAATATCCATGACATAAAATTGACCATTTTGTTCATTTTTGTGCACAGTTTAGTGATTTTAGGTACATTCACATTGCTGTGCAACCATCACATCACCGCCACCCATCTCCAGAAATTTTTCATCATTACAAACTGGAACTCTGTACCTTGTGAACAATAACTCCCCATTACCCGCTGTCCCCAGGCCCTGATAACCACTATTCTACTTTATTTCTCTAACAATTTGCCTATTCTCGATACCTCATACAAGCAGAATCAGCCAAAATTTGTCCTTTTCTGTCTAGCTTATTTCACTTAGCCATAATGTCTTATTTCACTTAGCACATAATGTCTTTGGGTTCATCCAGGTTGCAGCTTGTATCAGAATTGTTTCCTTTTTAAGGATGAATAACATTCCATTGTATGTATATACTACATTTTATTTATCCATTCATCTGTCAGTGGACATTTGGTTGTTTCCCCCTTTTGGATATTGTGAATAATGATGCTATGAACACCAGTGTACAATATCTGCCTGAGTCCCTACTTAAAACCATTTTAATCACCTTCTAGTTTAGGTTCTGTATTCTTCACTAAACATCGTATACATACGTATCCTTTAGCACCTGCCTTCACAGCAGATCTGATTAAATAGCTGCAGTGTATTAACTTTTGGTGTAATTATTTCAACCTGAAAAATTGTAACTAAATTTAATTAAAGCATTAAATTAAAATTTTGGATTGAACCATAGTTTTGGTAGCTCCCATGTACTCTGAGAAACTACTGAAAGCTACAGACCTTCTATCCCTTTAACAAACATCTGTACGTCAAAATCTATAAACAACTCAGGGAGTTCCTGGAGCCCTTTTGTTTTATCCTCAAGTTCCAGGCTTAAGTGTCTATAGTTTCTTTCACTATTCCCCTTTCATAGGCATTTCTGAGGCTTTGAAACAGCATATACGTCCTTCACTTCAGCTGTATAGCATGGCTAATGTCTGCAAATAAGGAAAACACATGATTGGGTTATTTTTTCTGACCTGATGCCAATTTCAGTGTGTTGAAATATTTGAACCATTCATTAACTCCTGGTTTGGACACACTTCCCCATCTCATTTATTCATTTACAGCTTCAATAAATAAATTACATCACGGCACTGAGGTAGCAAAGGTCTCTAATACTCGCTTGTACTAGTGCTCCAACAGATGTCTGGAATCACAATTGGGTTATAGGTAGAGGCTTATGGGATATTGAGGAGGAGGATAGAAAAAGCCTAGACTGCATTGAACAGACTGTTAGTAGAAAAGCAGATGCTAAGAACTCTGCTAATGAGGGTTCAGAAGGAAATGAGGAGCATGGAAAGGAAAATCTATATCATCCTAAAGAACATGTAAGTCACCCTAGACAGAATTTTGGTAGAAATATAGATGTTAAAGCTTCTTGTTGCTTATGGTTAAATGTGAGGGAAAAGAGATAAATTGAAAGAGGGACTATAAAGCATAATGAAACCAGGACTTCATGATTTTGGAAATTCTTAGCCTATCGAGATTGCAAAAGATTCTAAAACTAGGGAATTCACTGTGAGGAAAGCAATGAATTCTTCTCTTATAGAGAAAACCAGTGGTGTGGCTTGAGAACATTTTCTACTGCCTCTGAAGGATTAAAAGGTCAGAAAATTCAGTCTCAGAGAAAGCTCTTTGAAGATGAGGTTTGTGACTCATTGACCCCTTCAGCCATATTGGTAGATGCCAAAAATAGAGATGAAATTATTTTGTAAAAATCTGTGGAGCAGCCTGTTGTCCAGTGGAGTGAATTCCCATGACTTACGCAGGAGATCCACAAGGGACTTGAGAATTCCATACCAGAAGACACACTGCCAGTTCGGACTGGGAGAGACAGAACATGATATGAAGGAAGGCTGTTAGACTCCCCCAAAGTAAGAAACAGGCTGATAAACTATTCAGCTGCAGACACATGATGCTTTTTATCAAGAGCAAAGAAGAAGTTGAGGATGAAGCAGTGAGCCCAGAGGGTAGATCTGCAAGCTCACAGGGCTGAGTTTCATATCACAGAGGTTTATTTCCTGTCCTTAAAATCCAATATTGCTTGCCCAGTAGGATATCAACATTTCATAGGACAAGCAACTCATGTTTTGCTTTCATTTTCTCCCATTTAGAATGATAGTGTCAGTAACTGGTGTTTTATCCTGTCCCACTATTGTTTCTTGAAAGCAGATAACTTGTTACCTAATTTCATAGGTCCACAGCAGGAGAGAAATTTTGCCCCTGGAAGGATCATACCCAGACTGCCACTGATACCTGAAAAATTATTTGGATGACATAATTTGGGACTTCTGAGCTGATGATATTTAGATGAGATTTTGAACTATGAGTTGATAGTGTGATGGTTCAGGACTTTTGGGAATGTTGGAATGCATTGAATGCATTTTCCATGTGCAATGTATGCGAGTGTTTTGGGTACAGAGAGCAGAATGTAGTAGTAAAATAATGTTTCCTCAAAGATGTCCATGTCTTAATTCTTGGAAACAGTGAATATGCTACCTACATGGGAAAGGGTCTTTGCCGATGTGATTAATGTAAGGATCTTGAGATGGGGAGATTACCTGGATTATCCCGGTGGGCCTGATATAATTACAAGAGTCCTTCTATCAGAAAGAAGAGTAAGAGAAGGAAATGTGATGATGGAAGGAAAAGTCAGAATGATGTGATTGCCAGCTGGAAGGAGGCCGTGAGGCAAGGAACGCAGGCAGCCACTAAAAGCTGGAAAAGGCAAGAAAAGAGATTGTCCTCTTGGGCTTCCAGAAGGAATGCAGGGCTGCTCACACCTTGCTTTTATCTCAGTGAGACTCTTTTTGGACTTCTGATCTCCAGAGTTACAAGATAATAAGTTTGTGTTGTTTTAAGTCACTGAATTTATTGTAATTTTTTTCTTTTCTTTCTTTCTTTCTTTTTTTTTGCAGGGGAAGATTTGCCCTAAGCTAACATTTGTTGCCAATCTTCCTCCTTTTTTTTCCTTTTTCCCCCCCTAAAGCCCCAGTACATAAGTATGTATAGTTGTAAGTTCTTCTGGTTCTTCTGTGTGAGCCATTGCCGTAGCATGGCTACTGACAAATGAGGGGTGTGGTTGTGAACCCGGGCCACTGAAGTGGAGTGAAACAAACTTTAAATGCTAGACCATTAGGGCAGGCTTGAGTTTACAGTAAATTTTTATAGTGGCTATAAAAAACTAATACAGTCATCATGGGTGGTCAGAAGAATTCCAGGAGGCACTGGAGGAGGTTGTTGAAGCCTCCACAGTAAAGGCAACTTTGAGTGGCACTAACGGCAGTGCTTATTGTAGTGCAAATTGGACAGATTATAGAACTTTTTGTTATTTGGGGACCTATTCAAAGTGGGCTGATTTCCGAGTAATAAGCATAAGTAGACTTATGTAAACAAGAACTTTGTTGTCTTCAGAATGCAAAAAGGCCTAAAAATGTTGGACTTGTTGAAATATTGTGGTGTTGTCAGTGAATAGTCGTTTCTTGACAGTGTCATGGATAGAGGGGCCTTAGACTGACCACATAATTCCCAGGAATATAACTCAGGTACTGGCCTTGAGCTGTGTTGGGGCAATGGCACATCCCTTTGTGTGAGTCCTTTGTGAATGTTTCCATATCTTGAATGAGTGTGGCAAATGAATCTCCTTGGAGGAAGAAGTCCTCACTGTAATGTCATCCCTGTGCTTCTGGAGAAAGCTGGATATGGTTAAGAGCTTGCTGACAAAGTTTGTTGCCACTGGTAGGGCTGTTGAAGGCCTCCAAGTGTAACCAGTTAAAGGAGTATTCTGTGTCTTCCAAGGTGAAAGCAGCTACAGGTGAGGAGAGCCTGTTGAAACAGTTACTGAACAGAACATAGTAGCCAAATCTATGATGTAAAGTATTTGCCAGTAAATACTTGGATGGAGTGAGTAATTTCACTAAGATTGGGTATAGGAACTTTCATGTGTGGGATCTTGCATTAATCTTTCCCCAGTCCTTTCACACAGTTTGGTTACATGCCCCGACAGATGAAGACACACATGCATTAAGAGAGTATGAAAGGTTTGTTACTCAAATAATAAGGCTTTTTTGGTAAGAGCAGGACAGACTCCCAGCAAATTTGAAAAATCCCTTTGTAGAACAAAGAGGGATGTCTAGTTTGAGCTTTCCTTGTGGGTCAGTTGTTGGGACGGCGTGAGGTTTCCCCCTCATTGGCCTGCCTTGTATGGTTTGAAACTCCCATTAGGGCCACAGGAGGGAGCACGGGAACTTTCTTAACAGCTTGTTCAGATGAGGCACAGAAGAGAGAGTGGGAGACAGGGCTTGAAATCTGGCAGCAGTCAAACATCAACAACAGACAGACTTTCTATCACACGTGGATGATGGAGGCGAAGCCAAGTTGGTAAGTAGAGGTGCAGAGAACTCCTGTTTCATTAAGCCATTGAGTACGTTTCACTGAATCACAAAAGTGATTTGGATGTTTCACTTTAAAAAATGAGAATGAATCTTTCTGAAACAGAAAGAGCAGAGGCTCTGGAATCAAAGAGACTTGTGTTTAAATACAAACTGTACCATTTCCTATGGGTGCAACCTTCACAAATTATCTTCAACTCAGTTACCTTTGTTTCTCATCTATGAAGTGAGACAAATAGCTATACCTTTAGTAAAAACTTCAAATGGAAACTTCCATCACTTTAAATTGAAAAGCTTCCTGAATCTTTGTAAAATTCTCAATCCATGTTTTCAGTGTACAAGATCGAATGAATGAGAAAGCAACAAAACCACAAAAACACAAAAGTTCAAAAAGCAAACATTCAAATAAATATAAAATTATTGGAACAAAAAGATGTTGCTATCATTATGCTAATGTCAATCCATGTTGTATGATATTTTTAACTTTTTTAAACATTTGTGTTTTCTTAGGTTTTAAAGAGGAAGAAAAATCATATCAAGCTATCACTTGGCTTCCACCTGAAGATTATAACAAAGAATTTAAGAAATATTTTGATTTCTTTCTGAAAGAAGCTTTGGCTGGCAGGTAATTTTCACTTATTATTAGAACCAAAAAGTTACTATTTTAGTGATACAAGCGAATGGATGGAGTGCGTGTGCTTAGACTGAGGATATGAGAAAGGGATGGCAGGTTGGTTGCATGGCTGAATGGTTTCCTGGATGGATGAATGGATGGATGGATAGTGGAATAGATGAGTAGATGTTTGGAAAAACAATTATTTCTCAACAAATCATCCAGTCCAGTCATTGGAGATTCTTTCTTAATCTGTACTATCCCTCTTCCACTGTAAGCATGAATATATTTCTGTAGAAACTTGCAAGTGTTCTTTGTGGGAACTCCTTGCAATATTTCACTTACCATCTTTGTCTATAATCTCCACAACACAGAAGCTTAGGCACCTCAGCATCTCATTGTTGATAGGGAAATGAGAGTCACCTTTTGCCACTTATTTTTTCTCATTTTTCACACATATATTCATTACTGAAGGAAAGACTTATGAATATTGATTTTGTAGTCCTTGAACATTTGGCCATGTGAAGTCCTCTTAAAAAGCAGTTAATCTCATACAATATAAGAGATGAAGGTAATTCCCTTTGCTTCATCTTGAATGAAAAAGCACACACAATTCCTTAAATGTGGGCATAAAAGTGGAAAGACGGAAATCCTAGTATATCTTGGTTAATTACAATGGCTTTACCCCTTCCTTCTACCTTGAAAATTCTACTTACTAGTCGAGGTCCTGCTCAGACACGACTTTTCCCTAAAGCCTTCTTTCCTCACTCAGATTGGAAGATCCCAGGCCCTCCAGTACGGGTCTGATCAGACCTGCTTATCTGACCCTTAGTGTATATCATCTTGAATTGTTCATTATATATTTTAAGCATATGCTTTGTGTCTTCTCCCCTAATTTAACATTTTTGACGACAGGTAAAGGTAACTCTGCATGTTTGAAACGTTTTCCATTCATCAGCTAAATTTTATAAGTGACTAATGAACTACATTCTAGAAATTTTTTAGAGCATTACTAAAACTATCTAAAATATTTGGCAACCATTCCTTTATTATGTGAAACTTTAAAAATACCCAGCAGAGGATGATTTCAGCCAGTCAGTGCTATTGTGTGTTGTGAAGTTGATCCTAAAGATCAGGTAGAGATTTGCATATTGCTAAGGAGTGCTTTGCTTACGGGCCTTCTCTATCTGGGGTGTGATACTGCAGTGGTGCACAATTACAGGTGTGCCAGGTATTGATTCTTTTGGTCCTCCATGCAGCCGGCAGACCCCTGATGTCTTGAGCGCTTGCACCTGTTACCTCTGGTACCTTAAAATGCAGACAGACATCCTCATCTATTTCCCCACATGTTGTACAAACAGGAAACAGGATCATATTCTATACAGGCAGTGATGGGGAAGAATTGCAAGAAGATAGGTCCCTGGAATAATTCCACACTCAGAGAATAATTACGTCAGTAAGCTTTGCCACTATCTTCTCTGGATACCTCAGCTTTTATTTATTTATTTTTTTTTAATTTATTTTTTTCCTTTTTCTTCCCAAAGCCCCCTAGTACATAGTTGTATATTCTGCATTGTGGGTCCTTCTAGCCTTGGCATGTGGGACGCTGCCTCAGCGTTGTCTGATGAGCAGTGCCATGTCCGCGCCCAGGACTCGAACCAATGAAACACTGGGCCGCCTGTAGGATAGCGTGTGAACTCAACCACTCGGCCATGGGGCCAGCCCCACCTCAGCCTTTATTGAAGTGGTAATGTTAATAATGTGTTTCAAAACCAGGCCTTTTTTTTTTTTTTTTTTGCGTTGCTTAACCCATGGACACAGAAATGTAAAATTCCTGTTTTTAGTTGAAATTTTCAGTTCTAATATGATCACAGAGTCCCTTGAGTCAGGTGACGTGTCTTCTCCTGAATACACAGAGACTTTTTTTAAAAGCCTATCTATAAGTCAATATTTTGGGCACTGTGTCATCAAGTAACTTCCACAGTTTGGCTGAGTAAACAAGAAAATCACTAATGTAAAGTCAGTACGTAAGTGAAAGTTAAGGAGAACATGCCAGTATTTACCAAGTAGAAAGAGATCTGTGAGGTCTAGTGTAGTCACAGAAGGCTCCCAGAGCAGAAGACCCAACAGTGGCAATTCAATTTCAACTGTGACCAGGGATTTCAAGAATTGAGTTCAAAGATAAATTTTCTGATCAACTGGCTTAGAGAGTGCTTGAGATTTGGATCAGAGAGGAGAAGGGAGGGGAGGAAGGAAACGCTCTCAGGACCAGAATATCTTCCAGCCTGCCTGAGAAGAGGCTATTAATGGACAATGATGGAAGAGGATGCTGCTGTTATGTGTGGTCTTGCCCACCTGCGAAAAATCTTTATAGCCCAAGATTCTTTTCTTTATTGTGAAATCAACTCCTCCAACAAACATTTATCATTGATTTTCTTTCTCTCAGAGACACATTTGAAAACTTTTTAAAGTATATGGAACTACAGGGACTTCAGTGCAGTCATTTGCTAAAGAGAAATGATATCATGGACTCTTTAGAGAATGAGAACTTTGACCTGTTATTTGTTGACGCATTTGACTTGTGTTCTCCCCTGGTTGCTGAGAAGCTTGGGAAGCCATTTGTGTCTGTTCTTCCCACCACGTTTGGCTATATGGACTTTGGACTACCAAGCCCCCTCTCTTATGTGCCAGTATTCAATTCCTTGCTATCCGACCGCATGGGCTTCTGGGACCGAGTGAAGAACTTCTTGATGTTTTTTGATTTCTCTGTGAAGCAATGGCAAACCCACTCTACATTTGACAACATCATCAAGGAGCATTTTCCTGAAGGCTCTAGGCCAGTTTTGTCTCATCTTCTAAAGAAAGCAGAGTTGTGGTTTGTTAACACTGACTTTGCCTTTGATTTTGCTCAGCCTCTGCTTCCCAACACTGTGTATGTTGGAGGCTTAATGGCCAAACCTGTTAAAGCAGTACCACAGGTAAGTAAAACCTTAGCTCTCAATAAGGGCTTCGTGCAGGGGTCATCTGTGCAGAGCTGGTGGTGCCCCTGCCAGTGAGATCCTGGGAGTGAAGGAGGGTGAAGCAAGTGAGGCTCCTAGGGCACACTTTTTAAGTAAGTACTCATTTTGAGCTTCATGTAAGTACAGTGATAGGACTGCCAGAACCCTGAGATTCAGGACTTCCTTAAATGGTACCCCCAGGGTCCTCTCTTGCCTCACCCTCTTTCTTGTTCTAATGGAATAAGCCTTTTAATAAGTTTATATTTTTACTTGCGTTGTGTATGATCATATGTCAGGTAAGTACGCAGTAAGCATCCATCACACGTCAAGTGCAAGAATAGTTAAGGAGATGAGTTACTCACAGTAAAACAAACAACACTGTGAGACAGAATGTCACCAAGGCAGGACTGCATGGGTCTGACTGCAGGCATCATCTTCAGTATTCCCGGCCTGTAGAGCCCTGGTTCCTAGCTCTATATAGGCCTCCTGATTTGGTTGATCTGGGGTCTGTCCTGGGTGTTGTAAGTTGTAAACATGCCTAGTTGTTTTGAATGCATAGACTCGGAACTACTTCTAGAAGTTTTCAAAATGGGGAGGAGCTGAGATTATTTGGCTGGCTGCTGCCTGTCAGCACTGGGTTGCCATTTTATTGAATTTATCTTATATTTGTATACTCCCACCTGGAGGGAACCAAGATGGTTGACATTTTAAAAATGAGAGACAGGCTCAGACGGTGTATGTGACTCTCCCACTGCCTTTATTTCAGAGCCGAGAGGAGCCCTGATTTGGCCTGGGCCTTCCAGGCACCGAATGTGTCTACCCTTCCTCTGCTGACCTTGCACTGAGTGAGCAGGAAGAGTTGAGGAATGATCCCTGGTCTAGACGTGCTCACAGGAAGAGTTGGAGAATGATTCATAGGCTAGATGGGCTGTGAGTTGGTAGCAGAACTTTTAAGAATGAGCTGGGAGGGAAGACATTTCAGGTGGAGAGAACTGGGAGCCCAAGTGTAGAGGTAGAAGTGAAATGGCCATGACTGTGCATTCACTGCGTGACTCTGTCTAGACCATAGAGTGGAAAAATCAATTGCACAAATATAACCAGGCCAGATTGCAGGAAGGCTTCCACAGGAGGGGGACTCAGGACTTGGCTGGGGGAGGGAATTGTTAAGCAGGAGCATAATGGGAGTAAGGGTTGCAATCACTGTCAGATAATAGAGGCTTTTTCAAAAAAATTTCTTCTCTGGGGGCCGGCCTCGTGGCACAGTGGTTAAGTTGACATGTTCCACTTCCGTGGCCTCGGCTTCGCCAGTTCAGATCCCAGGTGCAGACCTATGCACCACTTGGCAAGTCATGATGTGACAGGCATCCCACATATAAAGTAGAGGAAGATGCTCATGGATGCTAGCTCAGGGCCAGTCTTCCTCAGAAAAAAAAGGATTGACAGCAGATGTTAGCTCAGGGCTAATCTTCCTCAAATAAAATTTTTTGTTTTCTGAATTTTCCAATCTCTATATAAGGGTCTTATGTTACTTTTGTAATTATAAAAGGCTCTTTTAAAGTGGTCCTTTGAACTGGTAAATCAGACATTGTTGTGCTGGATGGAATCAGCCGAATAGGGTGAAGCTCTGAGAGTTGAGAAGGAGCTACTGTGGTCCGGAATGAGTCAGGATCCTAAGAGATTTTGAAAGTAAGAATTGACAAAATTATGTTAAAGCCAAGATTGCAACATGAGGTCACAACTCTCCTTAAGAACTGCCTGGAGTACTTTAAAAATAAGGTGCCCAGGTCTGGAGTTGGGACTGGGCATTGCCACTTTTTAAAAAGTCTTCCCATGTGGATATAATTTGCAGTCATGTGGGTGAACCACTGAGGTAGGAGATGAACTACAAAGATCAGTGACTGAGAATATCATGGAATATCAGAGCAAAGCCCATGCCATGGTGCATTGGGTGTGGGTGGCCAGTTGCCTTCCTTATTCTGCCTCCACTTCCTATGCCAGCTTCTCCCCTCTAGCCGCCAGAAGTCCCACCATCCTCTCCTGGGCCCTGATCCCCACTGGAATTCCTCCTTGCACTAGCACCTCTGTTCTCACTGTGGAAAACTCCCAAGTGACTGTGTTTCCACGGACCCAAAATGAGTAGAGAATCTGGAATAGCGTGGATAGTAGGATCAGGTTTTCAAAGAGGAAAGATGCTCCATCAACACAATGGGCATGAGCACAATGTAGAGGGTGCTGAGCTGTTCCAGCCATTTGACGATTGTTTCAGGACAGTGAGCTCTGGGAGTGACAGAAAGGTGTGTTCAGTAAATAGCTGACTTTCATTTTATGGATGTCCTGGCTTTTATGACAACTTTGTTCACCTCCTTTCCATTCTTATCTCTCTCTAGGAATTTGAGAATTTCATTGCCAAGTTTGGAGACTCTGGTTTTGTGCTTGTGGCCCTGGGCTCCTTGATCAGCAATTATTCATCCCATGAGCTTCTCAAAGAAATGAACAGTGCCTTTGCTCATCTCCCTCAAGGGGTCATATGGAGGTGTAAGCCTTCTCATTGGCCCAAAGACATCAGTTTGGCAGCAAATGTGAAAATTGTGGACTGGCTTCCTCAGAGTGACCTTCTGGGTGAGGACTACTCAAATCTGCTTCTCTCTTTGTATTTACATGCATCTAGGGCTCATCAGGTTTCTGACTTGTAGTTGGGCAAACCCATCAGCATGAGAAGGAGCCACTGATAGCTAAAGGTAATTCTCCAGAGGGCAGGAATAGAGTGGCCAGTTGGAGTCCTTGGAAAATCAGGCTATTCTTCCAATAAGATTGGATACACAAACAGCCATCTCCTTTTCATTCTTTTCTATCCCAGGAATGATATCAGCAGCCACCATAGTCACATTGACCTACTGCATTTGGTCTTGAACAAGGTCACCCCAACACGATAGAAAATAACCTGTGTACTCTGAGAGAGTATACCAGAAACACGTTGCCACTGTATTTAGTGTCTTCATCTGCACCTGTTTATCCACTTGTCTTTATACATATAAAATATATATATGTATACACACACATACACAGGCACACAAATACATCCTCCTTAGCTACAAAGTGTGAATGACTCATGCCTTTACAACTTTGATGCCTTCAGTGTCTTTGGAATGTCAAAATACCTGAGCATCAAGCTGAGCAACCTCATAGCCAGTTATTAGGTCAATTGAGTCTCCAGTACCAGAGAGCTCCCTCACTCCCCACCAGGTTTACTCTGGGCCTAGTGATGCTTCTTAGAGACTCCTCACTGCCATAGACACTGGTGTATCAGAGGTTTTAAACCATGGTTATGACTCAAAATCATCTGAGGAATTTAAGAAACCGATTCCTGGTTCCACTTCTGCAAAAGTATTTCTCTAACTTTGGGGTGGGGCACGTGGTTCTCATTTCAAAGAGAGACAAGGAGATTCTGATGTACATCCCAGTTGAGTGGCACAGGTTGAGATGGATTCTTCACTATGAACAATCATTTTACTTAGCTCTAAATAAGGGTGGGATGGAAACACTGAAACTGGAAATATCAAGGTATAGAGTCCAGTCTGTTTTCAAGGGTTTTCTCCTTTATTTGAGGAGACACACATACTATGTAAGTTTTATGAATGCCACATGGGTTCTGAAGTCAGTAAGTGTGTCAGGAATTCAGGGAAGAAGGAAATTAGTTGGCAGGTGAGAAAAGATTGCTCACAACAAAGAATGAGACAGAGACAGAGAGAGACACAAAGAGAAAACATAGATGAAATAAGCAAAGAAAGGCACTGGGATGATAGAGAGAAGGATGGATGGATGGGTGGAAGGATGGATGGATGGATTGATAGAGACATATGCCTTGCTTAGCACTATTCTCTACAGATTTCCCTTAGGTCTCATTCTTATCTGGGTTCTACCTGTGGCAAGGTGTCTCTGTACACAGACAATGTTTCTAATCCTGTATGTTGGAACATCCACCTTGAATGTGTCCCAAGAAAACTCTTCTTTACAATGGCTCCAACACACTGAGAATCCATTGTCATTTTCTTTTGCCCTTTCTGCTTTACCTGGTATTCTGAAACTTTTCATCCTGAAATGTTATGTTCTCTTTCTTATTTGCAACAGCTCACCCTCGCATCCGTCTCTTTGTCACCCATGGTGGGCTAAATAGCATCATGGAGGCCATCCAACATGGTGTGCCCATGGTGGGGATTCCTCTCTTTGGAGACCAGCCTGAAAACCTGTTCCGAATAGAAGCCAAAAAGTTTGGTGTTTCTATCCAGGTAAAGCAGATCAAGGCTGAAACACTGGCTCTGAAGATGAAGCAAGTCATAGAAGACAAGAGGTATGTGGCTCTCTGGGCTTGTGGCCACATAGGCTGAATGAAGACATCAAACATGAAGGGTATCATGTGGGTCTTTTTGCGATAAAACCTGAAGCTTCGAGGATATGAAATAATATGTGTGTGATGCTAACAGCTGACCTGTCTCCTCTATGAGCAAGACTAGGCAATTTAGGTAAATGCTGAGGAGAATTTTGTACTTAATGGATTGTGAGGAAATCAAACTACTTACACAGGTTCTCTTTGAGAGGTCTTATATTTCGGGGTACTTTTAGTAGAATTCCAACTGAGTAAGAGGTTGCCTTCCTGTACCCAATATGCTATACTACTCCCTACCTCAGGACCTTGGTGTGTCCTGTTGCCTAGAACACACCTTCCTTTCTCTTCACAGGGATGACTCCTTCATCATATTTGGGTCTCATCTCCAAAGCTGCCTCTTCAGAGAGAGAGGCCATCGTTTTTTGTCAGTCTTATCTAGACTCCTCTCCTACCCACTCCAATCATAATTCATTATTTTCTTCTTAACACTTCTCAGGACCTATATTATTCCATTTCTATAGATTTTAATTTATTATCTGTCCCCCACACTAGAAAGTAGAGAGTAAGCCCCCCAGGACAGCAGTAGGTCTCGTTTTTCATGATGTTCCCAGGGCCTAGCATAGGGCCTGCCACAAAGTGAGTCTGAAGGAATTTCTGTTAAGTGAGTTGCTAACAGGGCCATCGATGTCTTAGGTTACTTAACATGCAGCAGCAGGATCTCATATGAAGAGAAAAAAATATATATTTTTTTCCTATAACTAAGAAGGACTGAGTAACCTGGAGTTCAAGGGCACAAACCTGAATCAGACCTCAAGGCCTAACATACTACCTTGCATGTAGGAGCCCCATAAGTAGTCCTTGTGAGATGGCTGAAAAACAGCCACATAGGTTATGACTTTTAGCCCTAGAAAAGGTGTTAAGCTCCAAGAGTCAGAAAACTCAGAAATTTTACATCTATTTGGTATCTTATGTGTTGCAAATTGTTCAATCCCTGAAAAATGGGTTTGTAACTTTCATTCAATTTTCAAAGACCTAGACCCAAAATGGACATGAACCACTGGCTCCTGTGAAGGAGTCATCTTGCCTGGAATGGTCCCCAGGCATCATACATTAGGGCCGGCTTCATAACTTGTGGGGCCTGATGTAACATGGAAACGTACAGCCCTTATTATAAAGTTCTAACATTTCAAGAAGGTGATAGTAGAGAATTGAATCAAGCACAGGACCAGGCTAAGTGTGGGGCCATGTGCAAATATGCAGGCTGCAGCCCATGGAGCTAGTGCTGGTCAACAGGATGCTGTGAAGGGGCCGGAAAGTGCAGGTGTCCTCCTGGGACACAGTCTTCAGAATCATATCTGTCACCTAGGCCAGACACCAGCACAAAGTAGGTGCCCAATATATGTATATAATAATTACATTGTATTTATTTTCTTTTTCTGGATTTTAATGGTTTGGATGGTTCAATTATTTCTGCCAATTTTTTTTAACCTTTTTTAAATTGAGGTAACTGGTTTATAACATTATATGAATTTCAGGCATGCATCATTATATTTCAGTTTCTGTGTAGACTACATCATGTTCACCACCCAAAGACTAATTACCATCCATCACTGTACACATGTGCCCTATCCCCTCTTTCAGACTCTTCCCTCCCCACTTCCCCTCTGGTAACCACCAATTTAATCCCTGTATCTATGTGTTTGTTTGTTGTTTTTATCTTCTACTTACGAGTGAAATCATACAATATTTGACTTTCTCTATTTGACTTATTTCGCTTAGCATAATACCTTCAAGTTCCATCCATGTTGTTGCAACTGTCAAGATTTCATACTTTTTTAGCTGAGAAGTATTCCACTGTGTATTTATACCACGTCTTCTTTATTCGCTCATCTATTGATGGACTCCTAGGTTGTTTCCAAGTCTTGGCTATTGTAAATAATGGTTGAATGAACATAGCGGTGCATATATATTTATGCCTTCATGTTTCCCTATTCTTTGAATGAATACCCAGCAGTGGAATAGCTGGATCACATGGTAGTTTTAGTCTTAATTTTTTAAGGCATCTCCATACTGTTTTCTGTAGTGGCTGCACAAGTTTGCATTCCCTCCAGCAGTATATGAGGGTTCTCTTTTCTCCACATCTTCTCCGACACTTATTTCTTGACTTGCTAATTATAGCTATTCTGATGGATGTGAGGTGATATCTCATTATAGTTTTTATTTTAATTTCCCTAAAAATTAGTGATGTTAAACATCTTATCATGTGCCTTTTGGCCATCTGTATATGGTCTTTGGAAAAAGATCCATTGCCTATTTTTTAATTGGGTTATTTGTTTCTTTGTTGTTGAGTTGCATGAGTTCCTTATGTATTTTGGATATTAACTGCTCATCAGATATATGGTTTGCAAATATCTTCTCCCAATTGTTAGGTTGTCTTTTTGTTTTATTGATGGCTTCCTTTGTTGTACAGAAGTTTTTTAGTTTGATGTAGCCTCATTTGTTTATTTTTTCTTTTGTTTCCCTTGCCTGGTGAGATATGATATTTGAAAAGATGCTAAGAGTGATGTTGAGCATACTGCCTATGTTTTCTTCTAGAATTTATATGGCTTCAGGTCTTACACCCAAGTCTTTAATTCATTTTGAGTTAATTTTTGTGTATCATGTAAGATAATGGTCTAGTTTCATTCTTTTGCATGTGGCTGCCCAATTTTCCCAACACCATTTATTGAAATGACTGTAGTTTCTCCATTGTATGATCTTGGCTCCCTTTTGAAAAGTTTACTGTCCGTAGATGTATGGGTTTATTTCTGGGCTCTCAATTCTCTTCCATTATCTGTTTGCCTGTTTTTCTGCCAGTACCCTGCTGTTTTGATTACTATGGCTTTGTAGCATATTTTGAAATCAGGGAGTGTGATAACTCCAGCTTTGTTCTTTTTTTCTCAGCATTCTGTTGGCTATTCAGGGTCTTTTGTTGTTCCACATAAATTTTAGGATTCTTTTATTTATTGTGAAAAATTTTGTTGGGACTTTGATATGAATTGCACTGACTCTGTAGCTTGCTTTAGAAAGTATGGACATTTTAACTAAGTTAATTCTTCCAATCCATGAACATGAAATATCTTTCCATTTTTTTGTGTCTTCTTCTACTTCTTTCTACAATGTTTTATAGTTTTCTGTATACAGGTCTTTCGCATCTTTGGTTAAATTTACTCCTGGGAATTTTATTCTTTTTGTTGCAATTGAATATGGGATTTTATTCTTAACTACTCTTTCTGCTACTTTGTTGCTAGTGTGTAGAAATGCAACTGATTTTTGTATGTTGATTTTATATCTTGCAGCTTTACTGTATTCATTCATTATTTATAATAGTTGTTTTGGTATATTATTTAGGATTTTTTATATATAAAATCATGTCATCTGCAAATAGTGACCGTTTTGCTTCTTCCATTCCAGTTTGGATCCCTTTCACTACTTTTTCTTGCCTGATTTCTCTGGCTAGGACTTCTAATACTACATTAAATAAGAGTGGTGAAAGTAGGCATCCTTGTCTGGTTCCTGTTCTTAATGGGATAGTTTTCAGTTTTTCACTTTGAGTATGATATTGGCTGTGGGTTTGCCATGTATGGCCTTTATTATGTTGAGGTGCTTTCCATCTATACCCATTTTATTCAGAGTTTTTTAAATCATAAATGGAGGCTCTATTTTGTTATATGCTTTCTCTGCATCTATTGAGATGATCATGTGACTTTTATTCTTCATTTTGTTGATGTGGTGTAACACAATGATTAATTTGTTAATGTTGAACTATTCCTGCATCCTTGGAATACGTCCCACTTCATCGTGGTGTATGATTTTTTTTAACATATTGTTGCATTCAATTTACTAGTATTTTGTTGAGTATTCTTGCACCTATGTTCATCAATGATATTGGCCTGTAATTTTCTTTTTTGTATTGTACTTGTCTGGTTTTGGTATCAGGGTAATTGGTTTCATAGAATGTTTTAGGAAGCCTCTCCTCCTATTTGACTTTTTGGAAGAGTTTTAGAAGGATAAGTACTAAGTCTTTTTTTTATTGAGTTCATAATAATTTACATCAATGTGAGATTTCATTTGTACATGATTTCTTGTCTGTCACCACATAAGTGCTCCCTTTCACCCCCTATGCCGCCCCCACCACCCTTCCCCTGGTAACCAGTGAACTGCTTTCTTTGTCCAAGTACTTGTTTATATTCCACATATGACTGAAATCATCTGGTGTTTGTCTTTCTCAGACTGGCTTATTTCACTTAGCATAATTCCCTCTAGATCCTTCCATGTTATTGCAAATGGGATGAATTTGTATTTTTTTCTGGCTGAGCAGTATCGCATTGTATATATATACACCACATCTTCTTTATCCAATCATCAGTCGATGGGAGCTTGGTTTGCTCCCATGTCTTGGCTATTGTGAATAGTGCTGCTACGAATATACGGGTGCATATGTTCCTTTGGATTGTTGATTTCAAATTGTTTGGGTAGATACCCAGTAGTGGTATAGCTGGGTCATAAGGTAGTTCTAGTTTTAGTTTTTTGAGGAATCTCCATACTGTTTTCCATAGTGGCTGCACCAGTTTGCCTTCCCACCAGCAGTGTGTGAGTGTTCCCTTCTCTCCACACTCTCTCCAACATTTGTTACTTTTAGTCTTAGTGATTATAGCCATTTTAACAGGAGTAAGGTGGTATCTTAGTGTAGTTTTGATTTGCATTTCCCTGATGATTAGTGATGTTGAACGTCTTTTCATGTGTTTATTGGCCATCTGTATATCTTCTTTGGAAAAATGTCTATCTCCTCTGCCCACTTTTTGATCAGATTGTTTGCTTTCTTATTGTTCAGTTGTGTGAGTTCCTTATATATTACGGAGATTAACCCCTTGTCAGATATATTATTTGCAAATATTTTCTCCCAATTGGTGGGTTGTCTCTTTGTTTTGATCCTGATTTCTTTTGCGTTGCAGAAGCTCTCTGTTCTGATGAATTCCCACTTGTTTACTTTTTCTTTTGTTTCCCTTGTCTGACAGGACATGGTATTTGAAAAGTTCCTTTTTAGTTCGATGTCAAAGAGTGTACTATCAATATTATCTTCCAGGAGCTTTATAGTTTTATAGTTTCAAAATTTCTCTAAGTTATTCATTTTGTTGGCATATAGTTTTTCATAGTATTTTCTTATAATCCATTGTATTTATGTGGAGCCTGTTCTTATTTCTCCTCTTTCATTTCTGATTTTGTTTATCTGAGCTTTTTCTCTTTTTTCTTTTTAAGTCTGGCTAGGGGTTTGTCAATTTTATTTGTCTTCTCAAAGAACCAGCTCTTTGTTTCATTGATCCTTTCTACTGCCTTTTTTGTTTCAATAGCATTTCTTTCTGCTCTGATTTTTATTATTTCTCTCCATCTGCTGACTTTGGGCTTTGTTTGTTCTTCTTTCTCCAATTCAGTTAGGTGTAATTTGAGATTGCTTATTTGGGATTTTTCTTGTTTGTTAAGGTGTGTCTGTATTGCGATGAATTTCCCTCTTAATACAGCTTTTGCTGCATCCCATATGAGTTGATATAGCATGTTATTACTTTCACTTGTCTCCAGATATTTTTTGATTTCTCCTTTAATTTCTTCAATGATCCATTGCTTGTTCAATAGCATATTGTTTAGTCTCCACATCTTTGTCCCTTTCACAGCTTTTTTCTTGTAATTAATTTATAGCTTTATAGCATTATGATCGGAGAAGATACTTGTTATTATTTCAATTTTTTCAAATTTATAGAGGCTTGCCTTGTTTCCTAACATATGTTCTAGCCTTGAGAATGTTCCGTGCGCCCTTGAAGAATGTATATTCTGCTGTTTTTGGATGGAGTGTTCTATATATCTCTATTAAATCCAACAGGTTTAGCTTTTTGTTTAATTCCACTGTTTCCTTGTTGATTTTCTGTCTGGATGATCTGTCCAATGATGTGAGTGGGATGTTGAGGTCCCCTACTATTATTGTGTTATTTTTGATATCTTGTGTTAGGTTTGTTAATAGTTGCTTTATGAACTTTGGTACTCCTGTGTTGGGTGCATAGATATTTATAAGCATTACTTCTTAATGGAGTGTCCCTTTGATCATTATATATTGTTCTTCTTTGTCTCTCTTTACCTGCCTTATCTTGAAGTCTACTTTGTCTGATATAAGTATTGTGATACCTGCTTTCTTTTGTTTGCCATTAGCTTGGAGTATCATCTTCCACCCCTTTACTCTGAGCCTGTATTTGTCATTGGAGGTGAGATTTGTTTCCTGGAGGCAACAAATTGTTGGATCTTGTTCTTTAATCCATCTTGCCACTCTGTGTCTTTTTAGTGGAGAGTTCAATCCGTTTACATTGAGGGTTATTATTGATGTATGAGGGCTTAATGCTGTCATTCTGTCACTCGTTTTCTAGTTTTCCTGCATTTCCTTTGTTTCTCGCCCTGTGTGTTTTGGTCTACCCATTGAATTATGTAGTTTTTTATGATGTGTTCCTTAGTTTTTTCCTTATTTATTGTTTGTGTCTCTGTTCTGCTTTTTAGTTTGGTAACTACCCTGAAGATTGTATTCAGAATCTCATGTATAAGATAGTCCATTTTCTGGTGGCCTCTTATTTCCTTAGCCTAAACTGATTCAGTCCCTTTCCTCCGCCCTTCCTAAGCTATTTTTCTCATATCTTATTCCAACTTATGTTGTCAGTTTGTGGTTAAAGTGACAAGGTTGTCTTTGTTTTTGGTGTTTTCCTTCCCTTTAGCCCTAATGCCATAGTTGAATATTTGCTATCCTATTCTGATTCTATCTATTTGTCCCCTTGCTCTGTGTTTTGTGACCCTTTCTCCCTTTTTTTTCTTTTGTTCAGGTATGAGGGCCTTCTTGAGGATTTCTTGTAGTGGGGTCTCATGCATGGCTACAAAGTTCCTCAGCTTTTGTTTGTCTGGGAAAGATTTAATTTCTTCCTCATATCTGAATGGATTTTGCTGGATAGGGTATTCTTGGCTGAAGATTTTTATCTTTTAAAGTTTTGAATATGTCATTCCATTCTCTCCTAGCTTGTAAGGTTTCTGCAGAGAAATCTGATGAAAGTCTGATAGGAATTCCTTTGTAGGTTGTTTTCTTCTGCCTAGCTGCCATGTGTATTCTTTCTTTGTCATTCATTTTTGCCAGTTTTACTACTATATGCCTTGCAGTAGGTCTTTTTACATTGACAAATCTAGGAGATCTGGATACTTCCTCCACACATATTTCCCTCTCATTCCCTAGATTTGGGAAGTTCTCTGCTATTATTTCTTTGAACAAGATTTCTGCTCCATTCTCCTTCTCTTCACCTTCTTGAATAGTTGTAATTCTTATGTTGCATTTCCTCATTTTGTCAGATATTTCTCAGAGACTTTCTATTTCTTTTTAGTCTCACTTCTCTCTCCTCCTCTATCTGGAGCATTTCAACATGTCTACCTTCAATTATGCTGATTCACTCCTCTATGGTGTCCACACGAGCATTCAGGGAATCCATATTTTGTTTTATCTCTTCCATTGTGTCTTTCATCTCTAATATTTCTGATTGATTCTTCTTTATAGTTTCAATCTCTTTTGTGAGGTCGCTCCTGAACTCATTGAATTGTTTCTCTATAGTCTCTTTTACCTCATTGAGTTTTTTGATGATAGCTGTTTTGAATTCATTGTCATTTAGTTTACATATTTCTGTGTCCTCAGGACTGAGTTCTGGGTGCTTGTTGTTTTCTCTCTGGTCTGAAGATTTGTTGAAGTGCCTGATGTTGGAAGGTTGGGTCTTTCTCCTTCTGATATTATTTGGTTGCAGTTACAGCCTATCACCACTGGGTGGGGGTTGAGACCCACGTGTTCTGAGCCTTCTGCCTTCAGCAGAGATGGCATGGTGTAGGTCGGGGGAGGGGTGCTTTCTCCTGCATGCAGTCCCAGGTTTCCCCATCAGCTCTTGGTCTCCTGGGGTCTTGGCTTGATGAGGTCACCCCGCATGAAAGCTTTTGCCTTGTTAGAGGGCTTCCCTCTAGGCTGCAAGGACCCTAGGGAGTCCTGGGTGATCCTGCTGATGCACAACCCCTCCCCCACTCCTTCCCTCATGTAGCCGCCTTGCAGCAGAAACCGCAGTCTTTAGGGGAGGGAGCGAAGTTCTCTCTTACCCCATTCCAGCTCCTCCAAGGAGGGCTCCAGCCACTCCGCCCTCCGTCATGTGACTGAGTGTCTCTCCGAGGTTTTTGTGCTGTTATGGTATTTTCTGTTGGAATATGGTTGCTCCCTTTTGTCGTATGTTGGAGGGGAGAGAGTCCCAGGCAAGTTCACTCTGCCGTGATACTGACATCACTCCTCATATTTAAGTCTTTTTTGAATGTTTGGTAGAATTCACCAGGGAAGGTGTCTGGTCCTGGACTTTTGTTTTTTGGGAGATTTTTGATTACTATTCCAATCTCTGTACTGCTGATTAGTCTATTCAAATTCTCTATCTCTTTTAGATACAGTTTTGGAAGTTTGTATCATTCTAAGAATTTATCCATTTCTTCTAGATTGTCCAATTTGTTGCTGTGTAGCTTTTCACAGTATTCTCTTATAATCCTTTGTATTTCTGTGGTATCCGTTCTAATTTCTCCTCTTTGTTTCTGATTTTAGTTATTTGAGACTTCTCTCTTTTTTTCTTGGTGAGTATAGCTAAAAGTGTGTCAATTTTGTTTATATTTTCAAAGAACTAGCTCTTAGTTTCATTGATCCTTTCTATTTTTTTTTAGTCTCTATTTCATTTATTTCTGAATTTGTTTTTATTATTTCCTTCCTTCTACTGATTTTGAGCTATGTTTTTCCTTTTTTTTCTAGTTCCTTTAGGTGCACTGTTAGATTATTTACTTGAGATTTTTCTTGTTTCTTTAATTTTCTTACAGTATACCATAAGCCTCATTGGGGTAGAGGCAAGACCATACAAATTGATTCACTTTTTTATAGTTTAGCACTTTTAGCTCTAAGAATGGCATGAAAGCACCAGTTGGAACTTTTCAAAGGGACCCATTTAGACAGTGGCAAGATGAAGCCAAAAACTTTTCCTTGAAGCAGAATCTTTTGTGCATATGGTGGAAAGTGTATGTGTGTGACACAAGTCCTCTAAGGCTTGTGAGACCACAAGAGTAACTGGCTACCTCTGTTTCTGCCAACAGGTACAAATCTACAGCAGTGGCTGCTAGCATCATCAGGCGCTCTCACCCCCTGACCCCCAGCCAGAGGCTGGTGGGCTGGACAAACCACATCCTCCAGACAGGAGGTGCTGCACACCTCAAGCCATATTCCTTCCAGCAGTCGTGGTATCAACAATATCTACTTGACGTCTTCTTGTTCCTGCTGGTGGTCACCCTGGGCACCATGTGGCTCTGTGGGAAGCTGCTGGGCATGGTGGCCAGGTGGCTGTGTGGGGCCAGGAAGCTGAAGAAGGCCTGATGCCAAGTGTAGCCTGGGGTGGCAGTATTTGGGGGGGGGTCACCGTTTCTTGGGAACCTCCCACCCTTTCTTGGGTTCTGGCAAGCTCTGTTCTCCACATCGTATCCACTTGCTAATTGTGCTGCAAATTCCTGCTCGCTGTTTTCTTCCTGTGATCAGATTTCTTTACTCAGCACTTGTGGCCTTCTTTATTAGTGAGTCAGCCAAGGCTAGTCTGTGATTCTGTCTCTGGGGCATTTGGACCCAGTGGCCCTCAGACTTTAAGCCTTGAAGCCCTTCCTTATCACGCCCCTCTTCCAGGCACTGAGCCTGAACCACTCTAGCCTCCAAGGCCAGTATCTTCTGAGCCTCTTTCCCTCTCACCTGCCCCCACTACTTGTTATGGAATAACAGCTAAGACAGGCGCTTTCCTAATTCTTTTATTGTCTATTGGCTTCTCCTCTAAACTCTCATCAAAGCACAGGAAGCCTGTCCTGCGCATGTGCCTTTAGGACGGAACCACCCTTGCAGGACCACCTTGGCTTCTGTCTTGGTTCCTGCACAAAGCTCCTTCTTTGCTGATCAGGCATGGAGCCTGCAGGTTGGTCATGGGCTGAAGTGGCCTTGTTCTCTGTTTCACAGTGCTGAGCTGTCTTTAAATTTTCCCATTAAAAAAGTAAAGTCATGAGAAAGAAGGTCATTTGTCTTTAAACTAAGTCTTTTTTTGTGCTCCTTGATAAGTGAGTCTTTCTATATGTGACATACTCTTGGGAATTGCATCCACTTGATAGTAACTGAAACCAGAAAAAGTGGCTGAAATGCTTAGGGTTTTCTTTCATCTTGTTTTTCTCATGTAAAAGAGATCTGGAGGTAGGCAGGCAGTCCAGGGCTGGAGTTGTAGCTCCATGATGTACTCAACAGTGCCCATGTCTTGTTTGGTTGATCTGCCTTCCTCTGCAGGGGTGTTTCATCCTCAAGGTTGCCCTGGACTTTCAAGAATGTCTTTTTGTATCCAGCCAGCACCTGGAAATTTGGGCAAGACATGGGAAAATTGGGAAAAGTGAATTAATCAGGTCCTTGCCAGCTGAGTCAGCCCTCATTAAAGAGATTTCCCAGACACTCCAGCCACCCAAAGACTCCACTTATGTCTCGTTCACCAGACCTGAGTCCCGTGACCACTCCTAGCTGTACAAAAATTCTAAGAAATGTTCCCCATCTCCAGCTGCTGGGGAGACACGTTAGAAACATAAACAAAAGGCAATGAATAATGAGAGGAAACTAGAGCCTTGGCCACATGTGGAGGGCAGGCAGGGAGGGTCTGGATTGGATGTTTTGTTCCACCTGTGACCCTGTGACCTCAGGGAGAGTCTTACACCAACTGTAACTACCATAGGTGGAAACTAGACCTTTTGGGGTGGTGAACATGCATAATAGGAAGAGCAGTCCTTTACCATGCTGAAGTATGTTATGTTTTCTGAGTTCTCTAATTTTGTTTCTGCCATTTAACTGGGTGGATGTGTCTAATCAGCCCACCCCAAAGAAGCAGGTACCAGCAGGAGGAACCACAGATGGAGAGGGAGCCAACGTGCAAATTGAGATGAGAGCAAGAAAACCTGCTGCCCCCTCCAACCAAGGCACGTGGCCTGGGCAGTGGAGATGGACTGGTTTTAGCTCCCACTGGTCCCTCTTGAGGGCATCTTTTTGCAATGAATAACCTGCCCTACCACACGGTCATCCCAGCTGGTGGACCCTCCCACCCAGGCTGATTCCATGCCCATGCATGCAGAGGGTGGTTTGATTAGCTGGGGGATTCTCTTGGGATATTTTGTTTAGGTGCACATTTTGTCCCTAAGACCTAGGGAGGCTCCTTTGTCCATGCCAGCCTTTAAATTAGTTAATCATTTATTTTTTATAAGTCTTCAAGTGAAATATTCACAACTTTAGACACACATATGTCCAGAGTGGATTTTCGAAATTTTGTTCAAATCATCCCAAGATAACAATAAATAATAATGAGATAATGCTTGTACTAGTGATTCAGTCCTCGGGCTTTTTTTTTTTTTTCCACTAATTAAAAATCCACAATGAATTTTGGGAGATCCTCTTGTGTTTTGGCAAATGCAAAGAAGAGAAGCTTCCACAAACAAGGGCAGTGGACACCTCCAGGTGACAGGGACCCTCCCTTGTCTGTAGATGAGATTCTTGAAAGGGATGGCACCCAGTGACCACTCTTCCTTTCTCATTTTGATTGAGCGGTTAGCTTCTTCTGTATTCTACAGTGATTTTACAAATAAAGAAGCCTGCGAATATGACAGAATAGAGTGCCCGATGTCAAGACCAAATAATAGTTTATTTCATTTCACTCCTTCCCCTTGTTATAATTTCTGTCAGGGAATTTTATTGAGTTAGGCTTTTCATTCCATATTCCTTTAGTGACCATTTATGAACTTCATATTGTCTCGGATGAAAGATACTGTCATTGGGAAATCAATTACCCACCAGTTACAGAAAGCCTCAGCAGAGGGGCTTAAGTCAGTGGGCTCCAGCCTGGGCTGTCTGTGCCTTAATGTGTACGTGAAGACCTTTCCCAAGCTGCATGGCACAGAGCGTCTGGAGGCGATAAATCTTCACCTGTGTGTACTCTAGTTTCCTAACACTGGTCTGCCTAACAATCTGCTGTGTTTGGGTGGTAGAGTTCTCTTTCCTGCCACACTTTTCACAATTTCCTAACCCTTATTTTACAAAAGAAATGCATGTCTTTCACCCCTCCCTATTCTCACTATGTTGCATTGCCCCAGGATGGAAAAACAGGGGTACCAAATGGACAGTTAGAAATGTAATGACTGAGCAAGAGCCCTTTGTTATTAAAGTGATTTCCAATTCTTCATTTTTAAGAAAATTCAAGAATAAATTGTGATTTTTCAGCTGTTAGTCCATTAAAAATAACTGATGTTGGATTGCTATGAGAATTTTTGTCTAGTATACTGAAGGTGTTCAAAGAGTTGAGGCACATGATTTTCAAGATGGTCATAACAAAACTTGTGCTACTTATTGATGCGAATAATTTTCTCAGTGTTTACATAACTAAGAGATATTGATATAAACACATCCTATTCCACAAGTAGATAATGTTTGTTAAATGTTAAATGTTAAAATTGACACTAGTCAATTTTAAAAGAATTTAGAAACAGTTCCTTATCTCATTGTGACGTGCATTTTGTGTTCAGTAATTATTGAACAAATCAGAAATATGTTTATGTTTCTTTGGCTAATTTAATGCAATTATTAAAACTTAAAGTAACTTTGTAAAAATATTCAACTATTAGAGCCTTATTGTCATAGGATAGAAATATTAATTTTAATTTGAATACATATTTTTGATACTCAAGGTAATAACTGGATATGCAACACAATTCTTTCAAGCATAAACATACATAGAGTAGAATTACATTCTCTAGAAAAAGTGGAGTAGAAATAATAATTCAAGAGGATTATGGAATGATGTAAAATTTCTAACTTTATCTACTTTATCTTAGTGTGTCTATCTAAGAGTTTGTCAATTTTTTTATCTTTTCAAAGAATCATCTCTCAGTTTCATTGATCCTTTCTATTCTGTTTTTGTTGTCTCTATTTCATTTATATCTGCTCTAGTTTTTAAATTATTTTCTTCCTTCTACTTACTTTGGGCTTTGTTTGTTCTTCTTTTTCTAGTTTTTTTTTTAAGGTGTATTCAGTTGCATTTCTATATAATAACAAGGAACTAGCAGAAAGAGAAAGCAAGGATACAATCCCATTTACTATCACAGCAAAAAGAATCAAATACCTAGGAATAAATTTAACCAATGAGTTGATAGACCTATACACTGAAAACTATAAGACAATATTGAAAGAAATTATAGAAGAAACAAGAAAATGGAAAGATATTCCAAGCTCATGGATTGGAAGAATAAACATAGTTAAAATGTCCATATTACCTAAAGCAATCTACAGATTTAATGCAATCCCAATCAGAATCCCAATGGCATTTTTCACAGAAACAGAACAAAGAATCATAAAATTTCCAAAATATATAAAGAACTCCTATAACTTAGCAAAAAAATGAACAACCCAATCAGAAAATGAGCAAAGGATATTAACAGACACTTTTCCCAAGAAGATATACAGATAGCCAAAGGGCACATGAAAAGAGACTCAAAATCTCTAATTATTAGGGAAATGCAACTCAAAATTACAGTAAAATATCACCTCATGCCCATCAGGCTGACTATATTTAACAAGACAGGAAATACCAAGTATTGGAGAGGAGATGCAGAAAAGGGAATCCTTATACACTGCTAGTGGGAATGCAAATTGGTGCAGCGACTATGGAAAAGAGTATGGAGATTTCTCAAAAAATTAAATTAGAAATACCATATGTTCCAGCTATTTTACTTCTGGATGTTTATGTGAAGAACGTGAAAAACCTACTTGCATAAGATTGATGCACTCCTTATTATGCTGAGTGAAATAAGTCAGAGGGAGAAAAGTCAAATACCATATGATCTCACTCATAAGTAGGAGATAAAAACGACAGCAAACAAATACATAGACACAGAGATTGGATTGGTGGTTACCAGCAGGGAAGGGGGGAGGGGGGCTGAAGGGGTGATTGGGCACATGTGTGTGTGATGAACTGTAATTAGTCTTTGGGTGGTGAGCATGATGTAATCTACACAGAAATCAAAATATATAATGACACACACCTTAAATTTATATAATGTTATAAACCAATGTTACTGCAACAAAAAAGAAAAAGAAAACAAACAAATAAATAAATAAAGATTGATGCACCCTTATGTTAATTGCAACATTATTCACAATAGCCAAGACTTGGAAGTAACCCCAGTGACCAAGTGCCCATCAATGGATGAGTGGGGAAAGATAATGTGGTATATTTATACAATGGAATACTACTCAGCTATAAAAAAGATGAAATCGTGACATTTGCAACACTGTGGGTGGATCTTGCAGGTATTATGCTAAGCAAAATAAGTCAGACAGTGAAAGTTTGACAAATGTGGTATGACTTCACTCGTATGTGGAAGATAAACAAATAAACAAACACATAGAAAAGGAGAACAGACTGGCGGTTACCATAGGTGAAGGGGTGGGATGAGGGCAGAAGGGATAAAGGGCCACATATGTATGGTGACAGATGGAAACTAGACTTTTGGTGGTGAATGTGATGCAGCCTATACAGAAGTCAAAACAATGAAATTTTACATATTGCTATAACCAATGTGACCTCAATGAAATAATAAAAACTAAAAAAAAAAAAACCACCATAAAAGATGGTTTCAGAGATATAATCCAATAATGGTAGATTGATTTCACTTGGGGATTTGCTTCCAGAGTAGAAACAAATTACTCCCAAGGAATTACTTCCAGGGAGTAGACACTACATGTAGGGAGTAGTGTCTCTTCAGCTTGGGACACTAGAGGAGGTTTTAAGCAGGTCCCTGAGGAAATGGGTTCTGGGGATGGCAGCGTGAGGTAATTAGAAGACTTTGACTAGAGATGAAATACCACAAATCTAGGAATTGTCCATAAAACTCAGATAGTTGGAGCTACTTTGAGGCGGAGCTGTCATCCACGTGATTTCCTAAGGTCTCTACCATTCCTGGTTCCGAGTATTTTCTATGCAGAGAGTGTGGTGATTACTTGGATGGAGAAGGGCTAAGGATCAGCTCACTAACCCCTCCTTCCCATTGCTCATGGGCAGGATGGTGAGGGCAGAATGTCCAGTGGAGCAGGAGCCTAGGGAGGAGGGGAAGAAGAAGAGGAGGGGACAGAGAGAAGAGAGACAGGAGGGATCCATTTCTTCCCACCTCCCAGGCTCCCAGCCAGCGCCAACCCTTCTCTGCCTGTGCACCATGTGTCTGGGGTGCAGCAGTTCCTTTGCAGGGAGGAGGCACAGGGCTTCCAGCACAGGAACCAGCATGGCGGGGCAACGGGTGCTGCTTCTCATCTGCTCCCTTCTGCCTGGGCTCCTGCTCTCAGAAGCTGCCAAAATCCTGACTCTGTCCTTGCTGGGTGAGTGCTTGGCCAAAGAATCCAGAGATAGGAGCGTCCCAGGCACCCGTGCCAGGGCTCAGGCAAACAGTCCTAGGTCAGAGGGTCCTTCCCTGTGGTTTTGCAGACTGAGCAGGTTTGTGTCCCAGGCTGGAGAAGGGAGAGGCAGTCAGGGACAGAGAGGGGCCTCTGCCAGTAGAGGAGAAGGTAGCTCCGGAGAAAACAGCAATTTCCTTTCCTCTCTTTTCATCTGCTCTAGACATGCTTCCCATTGTTCATGGCTGGGGCCAGAAGTTTAGATCCAGTTCTGAGACTGAGACCTGGGCCGGCTCTTCCGGTGCGTGGGCTGGACATTCAGAGGCTCACTCTAAACTTCTGGTGGGGGATGGGAGGAGTGCGGGGCACAGCAATTACCTGTAGAAAGTGGAAGATGAAGTTAATTTCAGGGCCAGAAAAAGGTGCTCCTGGGGGCAGCAGCACAAATGGGGAATATTTCATTAATAGGAAACCTGGAGAACTGATCCAGCAGAGGAAAGGACCCCAGGACAATCGAGTCCTTGGGAACCCCTCTTTCTTTCACCTGTGCTGTTGGAAGTTTCTGAAGGACAGGGAAGCAGTTAATTCTGCATATTGTGGAGCCAGTTTCATTTCCTTTACTTTTGCGCAAAAGGAACAGAATACCAATGGGAAAAATTTATCAGAATAAGGAGTCATCATTGGATGGAGTTCCCCAAGAATTTTATTTGACCCATCCTGAAAAGATCCTGGGCTCCCTAGATCACTTTTAGATCCCCAAGAATCTGGGGATCCTAGAGCTGGGAGAAACCATAGAGTTTATCTAATAGGGTCTCTTCTCTTATTTCCTGAGAGGGAAACTGAGTCAGGGAAATGAGGTGTCTTTTGCTAAAGCACACCAGTGCTGCCTTAAGGAATCTGTGGAAGAGGATGCTTCTTACCTCCAAAGCGTCATCTTCCACTGATTCCACTCTTTCACTCTTTACGGTGAGGATTTCTAAAAATCAGTATTTAAAAAATACAGTATTTAAATGTACTCCATTTTAAACCTTTTTTTTATGATAGTTAAAGGCAATGGTGGAAAAGAGCTTCCTCCTTTCTTGAAAGTACACTGGTCTGCCTCAGACTCCAAGAGGAAGCTGGGGTGGTTGTGATGTGCTGGAAGTGCCGCCTCTGCTCCAGAATGCCCTCTGGCTCACGAAGACACACATGAACGGCTGCATCTGTGGATGTGCCTTCTCCCCTGCACCTGTTTCCTCCATGAGGTAAATGTAAGCAAGAACAGACAGTCTGAGGGGATGGGGGATTTGTGTTTATATAATCTGTGCTATCACCGGTTACACAAGTATGGATCTAAAAGCTAGATTAATTTCCACAGAAACAAACCGTTTCTGTAGTTCTACACCCGTCTCTGCTGGCCCAATCATTGTGGGAACTTATCTCCCAAAAGTACCCCATTTCCCAACTTTGGCAAATTCTAATTCCTTCCCTCCTGAATTGGCTTTCTCTGCTGCTGAGATCCATAGATTCAAGAAAAATATTCCAAGATAGCACATGGTCTTAGACAAGACGTTGCAGGTATCTCCATATGGCCCCAGCTACAAATGCAAGATGCACCTTAGGATCAGGAACTCCGTAAGACCTAAGCACTGAGAAGCTCATCACACTAACATGGAGACCACGAGTCACAAGAGGGGCTTTTTGACGGAGGATTGCCGCAGGTCAAGGATTGGGGCAGACAGGATGTGGGTGTCTGGGCTGGGGCTTACCCAAAGTGAGAAGAGGCACTGAAGAAACTCATCTTCCTCTACTCACTGTCAACTTTCTGTTGTCTTACCCTGGATTTCCCCACGTCTCCACATCGATTTCAGACTTCTGTT